ACGAGTTTGTGTTCCATGTGGACCACTACGCATTGCAACACCTAGTCAAGAAAGCCGACCTATCCGGTCGGATTGCCAGGTGGGTGTTGTTACTACAAGAGTTCACCTACACAGTCCAGACCAGGAAAGGGGTGCACCACGAAAATGCGGATTACTTGTCCCGATTATGGACACAGCCGACAGAGGAGGAATTGGTGGACGATTTTCCAGATGAAGAGTTATTTCAGTTGTCTGCAGGACATGAGTCCCGCTATGCCGACCTGTATCGATATCTGCTAACCCTCCAGTGCCCCGAAGGCATGGATTTGGAACAGCGAACTGTCTTTATTCATAAGGCAGGCCCGTACCAACTCCAGCAGGGGGTTTTGTTCAAGAAGATGGCGGATGAGCGCTTATGCAGATGCCTGGAGGAATCAGAGGTACCAAGAATAGTGAGTGCGATGCATACAGAGGAGGCGGGTGGACACTATGCCACCCGGAACACGGTCACAAAGATCCTAAATGCGGGATATTGGTGGCCGACCATGTTTAAGGATGTTCTCGATTACATCCGCAAGTGCGATAGTTGCCAGAGGACGGGGAGACCGACGCCTACAACACGCTGGCCCCTGACTCCCATCATGCCTCTAGCACCTTTCGAAAAGTGGGGTATTGACTTTGTAGGGCCGATACAACCAGTGACTAGAAGTACACGAAGGCGCTACATTCTGGTAGCAACGGACTACGCCACCAAAATGGTAGAGGCCAGAGCCACCAGAAAGGATGATGCTGCCACAGTGGCAGCATTCTTGTTTGAGTCGATCATCACACGCTACGGATGTCCCTTAGAGCTAGTCAGCGACCGGGGCACGCATTTTCTGAATCAGATCATCGAAGACCTGACACGGTATTTCCACATCAAGCACCGGAAGACTACTCCATACAATCCCAAGGCAAATGGACTGACGGAGAAGTCCAATGGTCTGCTGTGTAAAATACTACTCAAGGTCACGGTGAATCACGCTCACGACTGGGATACGAAGCTAGCAGCCGCTCTATGGGCGTACCGCACAGCTGAGAAGATCACGACCAAACAGACACCATACTTTCTGGTGTATGGGCAACACCCGATCCTCCCAATCGAATTTGAAGTACCCACCCATCGAACGATGGATTTGCAGAGGATGGGCGCAGAGGAGAGTCAGCTCTACAGGTTACAGGAGGTCATGCTGCTGGATGAGAGGAGACGAGACGCCGAAGATCGCACCAGGAAAATCCAGCTCCGCCGAAAGGAGAGATACGATAAAAAGATCAAACCGGTACTCCTGCAGGCGGGTGATTTGGCATTGCTCTACGACAGCAGGCATGCCAGATTCCCAGGCAAACTGCACCTAAGGTGGATGGGACCTTACAGGGTTGTCGAAGTCTTCCCGAATGGATCCATCCAACTTGCGGACCTGGCCGGCGATTTGTTAGGCACCCGAGTCAACGGGTGGCGGTTGAAGAAATACCACATGTGAGTGTTCGCGTGGGCGCTCACAATTGAGGAGGGGGGCATGTGGTACCCCACTTTTGGCAATTTTGAGGAAATTAAAACATTTTTGGAAAACTGTACCCTGGCAGCATTGTAAATAGCCTTCGGTACATCAAAACAGAGTGAATCCGGAAGATCGCGGGGATTCTCGAGGGATCTTATAGAATCTGGGATTTGGGGTGCCGCAGTAAGGACAGGCACCACCCTCCCTGCGAGCTCCGCAGTTAGGATCTCTACAGCGCAAGGCGCAAAATCCGCCTTCGGAGGTTGCGTCCGCGGCTGTAGGGAAACCCCCCGTAATTAGGTAAACCCTCGGGCGCCTTGACCAAGTTAGGGTCCCGTTGGAAAGAGCTCGACGCGCTGATTCTAACGAGCCCAAGAACGCTTGGAACGGACGAGGACTTAGGGAGTTATCGCTACTGGAAGAAACGGAGGCGGTCGCCTACGGCGGAAGGAGTTCGCCACCGGCGCGAATTCCGCCTACGCGGAAGGCGGAATCAAGTTTTGTCCTATGCGCGGACGAAGGCGTTCGCCTGTGCACAGGCGAAGTAGGGTTAGGGAAGGCGCGAAGTCCGCCTACGCACAGGCGTTCGCCTGCGCACAGGCACTTCGGCGTCGGCGGAAAATCCGCCTTGGGCCCTAGAAATGCGCCTTGTGAGGTAGAAAGTGTACGGCGCCTTCCGCGCCAGCGCAGCGCCGCGTACGTCGGAAGAGCCGCCAGAGTAATCCAACAGGTACGGACCGTGCGGACGGCACGGGTGGATGCGCTCTTGGACGGACGGAGTTGCGGCGGCGGAAGCGCCGACGGAGAGACAAGGAACGGACAGACTGGACGGAGACGGCTGACCACGGTCAACGCCTTCCGCGCCAGCGCAGCGCCGCGGACGGAATTCGCCTGCGCACAGGTGAACGCCTGTGCACAGGAGGATGTTCAAGTTCGGCGCCGGCGGAGAATCCGCCGAGGCCCCTGCCTGCGCACAGGCAGGAGTTGAATTTTTGTCCGACATGCGGACACACGCGTCAAGGCAGAAGGAGATTGGCCGAGGGGCGGTACGAACAAGTGTACCGCGCAAGGCGGAAAACTCGCCTTCGGCGCTACGCCCCCATGTCCGCAGGGTGACACGCTCGCGGAGTTCAAATCCGCCAATTCGAGCGTGAGAGTTTAATCGACGACGGCGGAGCGTGAAGCCGCGCGTGAGAGCGAAGACCGTTCCAGCGTACAGCCGGCGCGGCCATCAAGTGAGACGTTCTTCACGACCAAGAGACGACCATGACCTTCGACCGGGCGGCGGAGAACGTCCCATTCTTGAATTCGCGATTCCAATCTCTTGTGCGCGCTGCGCGCATCCATCTGCTGGCTGCGGACCATTCTCGTCGTCGTCGCACAGGAGATTTCTTGTTGATTGAGGGAGAAGTGAGTGCGCGTGATTTGGAATTGAGAGCGATTAGAGTTTGCCGAGAGAGAAAGAAACGCGGACAGTGCGGAAGTAGAATGAGCGGGCGAGCGAACCCCAGGAACGCAATGACGAGACCGAGCAGATTGCGGATGGTGCCACTTCGCCTGCCGCAGAACGGGCTGCGCGCTTTCGAGGAGCGCTTAATAGCAAGAAAGCTCGATTTCTTGCTATGGGGATGGAATTACATCTGCGCGAATATGGTGCGCGAGTGGCTAGAGCCACAGGAACCACCCTCGCGCGGATTGCGTCCGCATGTTGACCGGTGGACAGTCCAAGATTGGGCGCAGGCGTTGGGAAGATGTGCTGGCATGCCAGGGCATCTCCTTTTCGACAGTGAGAGCATCAAGGTGACCAAGCAAGAAGAGGCGCAATTTGTGGAGCTGTTCAAGACCGGGAGGTCAACCAAGAATGGGTACAGGACCCGTGATTACAAGGATCGATTTCGCCGGACTTTGTCCGCGGCGCTGATGCAATTACTGCAGCCGCACCGCGCCTGCTACATCACATTGTGGCAGGTCTCTTTTGTGGAGTGCGTCATCGAGGGAACTCCAATTCACTGGGCGAGCATCCTGCACAGGGTGATGCGACAGCACGCGTTTGAGGAGAAGGGGGGAACTCTAAACCATCTTTCTCCTTTCCTCATCAATTTTTATCGACAGCGGAATTGTTTGACAGCGGCGGAGCTTGAACATTTTCCGCCATTGTCCATCGACCATCCCGGGAAGTATGTGCGGGAGAACGAGGTCGACACTGATGCGGAGGAGTCACCGACTTCTACCCCATCAAGACGGAGGGATGAAGGGAGACACACTCCTGCAGCGCGAGTGCCGCGGAAGCGGCGATGGAGGGAAGAGAAAATCTTGTGAAAATAGCAGACATCAAGTTGTTAGTGACAGTTTGGGACAATTTGTCCATGGCAAAACGAGTACTTATGATTTCATTGTCTTGAATACACTTTAAACACATGGTTTGAGATCAAAGAAGTTAGATTATGGGAGCTCAAACCCCCACCTGGACTACAAACGCTGAAGGGTGGAGAGTTTAGGCTCACACATGAGTCTGTGAATACTTACAGCTGAAATTCGATTATAATATATTGAGCAGGATGATAAATAACTTGCGGTATCCTCTTTATAACATCAGGGATGAGCTTGAAAGTCCAGACCTGTGATGTGATATTTGTCTTCTTTGGCTTTGTTGGTTACATGGAGTTATTATTGGAGATTCAAAGGACTAATTTGGTTAAATATTATTTGCGATTGTAGAACTGACGCAGTCTGTAAGTTCATTGATTAGCTGATTTGACATATGTGTAATATGTTTGTCTATCTGGAGATATCGTGTTATATCTGCCATACATTAAGTCGACCTTTCAAACTTCGACACCTCGAGATTTTCTCAAGAAAAATGGTGACAACTTACACCGTTGAATCCAAGATACATTTTTACAACACGGTACTAAACCATAATCAATGGACATAAAATTTTATTTATAAATTAAAATCTTAATCAAACGTAAATTCATCCAAAAGCCCAAAAAATGTAATTTGGTTCTATTCACGTTGCTGTAATATTGATGCACTGCTCCTAGTCTCCTATCGATCAGCTGACTGCTATATGACATGAAACTTAAAAATATTTTAACTAACGTGATATTTGACAATAGACTTTGACATACATAATTAGTGGTTTCACTTTATCCCTCAAGGATTGACTGAATAGACTTCATGACCCTTGAGCAATATAAAAATCATAATCCAGCAAGATTTAAACGGATCATTCCTTTGGTCCGCAGACTCAGTGACTACAACTCCTCACTGAGGAGTCCTCAGGGACCAAATGACTTTACGCATGGTCCATGCACATCCTCTGGTGCGGTGAAAAAACTGTTCTAACTACCAAACTGCCAACCCAGCCTGACTCTCAGGTCACACTCACCATAATACTCTCACTTACTACCGAATTGCCAACCAGCCCTGAGTCTCATATCAAGCCTGTTGTAGTACTCACATCTGTCTGAATCCTAATCGGGTCCTTATAAATATCGTACTTTCACCATATGCGTCATCGGCATCCAAGAACAAGAATCAACTTGAAGAGCTGGAAGCGGCTGCAAACAAAGCAGAAGTTTACTAGAAAGGAGGGATCCAGTTGAGCATACTGTGAAGAGAGAGACGAAGCATCCATCAGTGATGGAGTTTCCAGCGAAGTTGCTGAGTTTCATGTTCTTATCAGCGATATGTTTACCTTCGGTGCTGGGAGGTCGTTCCTTCCTTCAATCGCTGCCGCCTCTGCCATCTCTTCCATCGCTGCCTCCTCTCCCAACTCTTTCCCTTCATCTTCCTTCGTTGCCTCCTCTTCCAACTCATCTCCCGACGCTGCCGCCTCTGCCCACTCTTCCTCCTGCTCATCTTCCAAGCCTGCCACCTCTGCCCACTCTTCATCCTACTCATCTTCCAACGCTGCCACCTCTCCCAACCCATCTTCCAAGCCTGCCACCTCTGCCCACTCTCCCAACCCATCTTCCGAGCCTTCCTCCTCTTCCCACTGTTCTTTCTCATATCCCAAAGCCTCCTCCGTTCCCCCATGTTCCTCCCCATGGTTCAGCGCCATCTCCTCTTCATTCTATGACCCCTTCTCCTCCTCCTCACTCTAAAGCACCGTCTCCAGCTCATTCATCTTAGTCTGAATCAAACTTTCGCCAGTAGACTGTTGGCACGGTCAAACAACATTGGGACACACCTCCCATCTTTCAGCAACGAGTGATCTACCTGTCTTCTGGTTTTACAGGAACTAATCCTACTTGATAACTTTTCGCCGTCATCTTGGTTGGTCTCAATTGACTTGGTGCCAGCCGTCTCCAACACCTCAAGTCTAAATGGAGGGACTCAAGGACCTGATGTTTCTGTGGAGTGGCTCTAGGACGACAAGAGTATCACTTCGGGAGTTTTCATTCATGTGATGAAATACCCCTACCACTATATATGTCCTACAGCTTTTACTAGTCAAGGTATCCGATATTCGAAGCATGCTGTACATTGTGCTGTCACTCATTCCGCAGGATCAAAATACAGCACTCACTCTACAAAGGTTGCTGACAAGGTTCAATTGTTTCCAAACAAAGACTTCAACATCAATTGCCTGCAATAAATAATAAACCTAATCGTAGATGAAATAATATGCACGCTGAAGGAAATTAATGTCGGTTGGTTACCAATTCTTTTATTAAGAAATAAAGACCACAATGTACTTCGCTATACCTTTTGATTTTCGTACATGATGTATGCACTATCGTGGATTCCAATTCATTCTTGAGCCTTGAATATACGATATCTAGACTGAAGCACACTCGCCAGATGTTTTGAGGATGTCATCTTTCTGATCTTAAGAGTATCACTTAACTGTTTATTAGGTTCAGTGGTCCATTTGTGCTGGTGCGGAAATACATGATTCTTACACATTCGATTTCCAGTGACAGCAACATGAATGCGTTAGTGAGAAATAAACACTGCACAGCCATTTATTGTTGCTTTCGCATAAGCGAAAGCAACATTAAATGGCATAGACGTAGATGCACGACGATTTCGCCCTGTGCTGGTTTTTAAGCTTCCTCTTCATGAACTTAAACCACCAAGAGTAGGAGCGGGGTGAACGACATTGTCTACAACTGGAACGAAGAGGTTGGATCATACAGAGCTTCCGGACTTAGGCAAGGGATTATACATTCCCGGGACATATGTAGAAGTCTAGATGGCCCCCCAGAGGAGCCCAGTCCCAGCAGAAGCCCAATAAATCGTGTAACAAAGCCGGGAATCCTTTCTGCCAGAGCTCTTGGACCAATGACTCCAATAAGAAAATCTTCTGTGAAGCGCACATAGTTTATTTGCTGAGTTTCTTGCGGGTGGCTAAACCTCAAATATAAGACCTCGGCATATCATGACGAATCTATGAGGTCGTAATTTCCCTCTTTGTTTCTGTTGACGAAATCTTTCATGGATATATAAATATCTAATGCAGTCTCCTTTAATCAGCGATAGTCGAACTCATAGCAGTAGTATATACGCATGATTCACTGGTTGGAAATTAACAGAACTATGAGGAATGATCTTAAGTGACAAGTTTCAGACTAGTTGCATGTAAGGACATGGCTCTGTAAGCACAGGTGTTGGGATTTTATTTTTTCTTACCTGTCTCACTTCACTCGTTGTTTTCAGTGTGTCACTGACTTGCTTGAACTCAACGTGTTGGATGATCATGATTCTTCTTATATGAATGCTGAACACCTTCCGTTTGACAATTTAGATTTTAGCCATCTTGTTTAAACATCAATACCGTGTGCACTGGCTTTCGGAATCGTTTCCATAATACACTTTAAACAAACGAATTTGTAACCTTTGGAGTTGTAAGACTTATTTCTAGAAGATAGCATTGAAACGTTAAAAGAGAGCGAATATTAATTACTAGTATGAGTAACCCTTCTGTTTGATCTCCTCTGTTTCCAGATTCATGAGAACTCCGAACTTGGAACTGTAAGTTCTCTTTGAATATTCAAGCCTCATGAATATAGGCTGAAAATTTCGACATTTCCAAAGGTTCACAAAATCTAAATTGCACCTGAAACCCAATCCATATACGAAAGTGTTGAGACTCCTCTCAGAACCAGTTATTAGTTGTAGAATATATTACAATCGTATAAACTCCAAACACTCAACCGAGATCAAAGTAGTACCTACAGCGCTTACAAGAATTGTCTACAAAATCCGAAGTACACTTTGGTCTGTATTGCTTGATCACAACATGATACCTTATATGTTAAACGTTTCTTCAGGAAAAAATATATAGAAAAAAACAATCAGTTATCTACCTATACATGTTTTGCGGTGGGGACATTGATGCTTCACTGATCGGCAGACTCCAGGAAACACCTATTATTCTTGCTCGATATAGCTTCACTGCCGTTGCTGTGAGAAGATTACCTATTGTTACATTCACGTAGGCATTTGATGTTGAAGTCTTTGTTATCAAATGAAGCTTGTTTTTGATCAGGTCCAGGGTGAGCGATTATTGTAGATTCCGATGCAGATGTGAAAGGAGAGTTGACGGTGTGCTTCGAAAAAATTGGATGCCGGAGGCCTTGGATTTGCAGCAAACCTGAAGCACACATCCAGTAGTAGGAGTACACGAGCACATAAATGCAGTTCACAGAGCGTCCATGATTCTTTTCAACCTAGAGTCCCTCCATAGAAGCCTCATGTGCTGGAAACTTTGTTACTCATGGGGCACTGTCCAGCTTCCGAAAGTCTGAGAAACATGGAGATGAAGATTAGGCGGTAGAAGTTATTCCCTAAGAGCTGAAAACACAAAATATTCACCGTGCTGACTGCTGGAAGATGAGCAACGTGCCCCAGTGTGTACTCACTGCACTGGCAGTGCTTGGAGTCGAGCGGAAAAACGTCGATTCAGTTCAAGATGGAGGAGGAAGCTTTATGAGGTGAGAAGGAACAGTTGGGAGAGGAGGAAGCGTTGGAAGATGAGTTGTAAGATTTGGCAGAGGAGGAAGCGTTGAAAGTTGAATAGGAAGAATTGGAAATGTACGATGCGTCCGATTGTGAGTCGGAAGAGTTGGGAGAGGAGGAAGTGTTGGAGGATGAGTAGGAAGAGTTTGGAGCGGTGAAAGAGCAGGACGATCAGCAATAGTACGACCTCCCTGGACCAAAGGCAAACATAATACTGTCAAGGACAGAAAATACATCAGTTTCTTTGGAATCTCTATCAGAGATCGATACGTAGTCATTACTTTGACAGTGTGCTCAACTAGCTATGCCTTTTGTGAATGGGGTCCGGTATGCTTGCAGCTCCTTCGTGCCCTGGAAGGCGATTCTTGATTATGGATATGTTGGAAGCGTATACATATATACCGGCTTGATTGAAGCTCAGATCTCTTCGAGAGTAGCTTGGTGAGAATGATGATACTCAAGGGTTGGCAAGCCAGTCGTGAGCTACACTTAATTTATCTGCTGATTACAGCAGTGAATCAGCTTGTACCTGGCTCAAATTTATGGTAGCCCCACATACTATAGAAGTAATCAGTTTCATCTTCAATCAGAATTTAATATTATAGTATTCAACTTCAATAATGCTTCAAAGGCAAGTAGGTTTGTAAGTGCCGATTCTAGTTCATGGCTATTTATTTGCAGATAGTTTGTCTTTCATGCGATTTCTGATCATTAGAAATGAGCATCTGACACGATATTAAGATCGGTTGATAGCTAAGACAGGGCACCGCAAGAATACTTGGAGCTTTGATAATGTATTATGGACCGAACTGCACTTTTGTTCTCATCTTAAGATGAGCTTGCTTTCCATCAGTCCTCCCGACGACTATAAAATTGTTAAAGCTGAATGGTGTTGTGATCTTGTGCATCTTGAAGATCATGTGCATATTGCACTGCGGCATGCATTTGATTCCGGAATAGGTTTTGAGAAGTTGCTAAGTTAAGAGCTCATCGCGCACTGTGTAAATAATTGATGGCTTCCTCGAAAAATGTACGAAGAAAGCTCTATCTTCAAGTTTGTTGAAGAAGATGGAGTGCTATTCGGTATACATATATATAAAATATCTTATTCATGGTGTTTAAATTATGATGAAATCTTTCATCGATAGAATATCACCGAATTATCCGTTTCTTCATCAATTAATCTACATGGAAAAACATCACAAATTGCAACCTTAGATACATAATATCACCAAATCTAATCTCAAATCATGATACCCTACTTATCCAACATAAACACTACACACGTTGCGGTTTATCTCGTAATTATATAATTTTGTAACCTGCTATAACGTTCGATGTAGTAAATCCATTTTGTTGCAAGGAAACACTATTAAGAGAATTAGTTTCATATTGAAAGTGCTTTCCACCCCTGATGTGAGTACATCGCATAAAATATCTTTATATTGAGCAATAGTTAATTCCTCTTATGCCATGAACCTCACCTAAGTATACAAAGTTATGCAGTCCACTAAGTCATCTTCACTTTTAGACATTCTTTAACTGTATTGAACTGACCGTAATATTCAAATGAACATTCACAACATATTATCGTGTAAGTTTTTATCTCTATGCAATACTAGAATCTACACTACATAGTAAACTAAAGATGTTTGCTAGCAATGATAATGCATGTTAAAAGAACATTATTGGATGTTGGAGTCTTTGCTATGACATTTGATATAACATTTAATTTCTTTAGCCTTGAAAAAAGTGTGCTTGCTAGATAATTAGCTTGACAAAGATCTTTTCGATGCGATAGAAAACCTTCAACCTTCCAAACTACTCAATAGACTAAATACATCATCTTCACCTTCGCGCTTAATCTACTGAGTATGTGGGCTGAAACTCATCAAGTATTTCATTCTTTGACTTCTCATTCCACATGGAGAAATGCTTACCGTAAACAAACTTACTTAAGGTGTTTCATAATAGATAAGAAAACATATTAATATATGCAAACTCTGACAATAACCAACTCGCATAATCAATCAAGGTATAATCGTGAGGCTACTGGGTTGGCCATGTTCTCGGGTTTATTGAGCAGCCCATTGAGCAGGATTATGTCGTTTATAGATGAGCTGGCTGTCATATGAAACACATGATGATCTCAATAACATACATACTAACGTTATCATTTCCATCAACTTTGACAATGAGAGAAAGTGGCTTGACTATCTTCAGCAAAAAAGGACTAAGATTTCTCATGACCCGTGAGCAATATAATATTGATAATCCAGCGCGACTGGTAAAGAACATTCCGTTGGTCCGCACATTCAGCCACTACGATTCCTTAAGGACCTAACGTCTTCGCGCATCCTGTAGTGTAGTGAGGTAAATGAAATAACTACCGAATTGTCAACCCACCCTGACTCTAAGGTCACACTCACCATAATACTCTCACTTACTCCCGGACTGCCAACCCTGACTCTCAACTGCCTTCAGTCTGAGACCACGCCTACCGTTGTACTCTCGTCCATCTGAATCCTATTCGAGCCTTTATAAGCATCGTACTTTCACCATATGCGTCATCACCATCGAAAGGCAAGAATCAACTTGAAGAGCAGGGAGCAGCTGGAAACAAAGCAGAAGTTTATTAGAAAGGACAGATCCAGTTGAGCATACTGTGAAGAGAATGACGAGGCATCGATCTGCGATGGAGTTACCAGCGAAGTTGCTGAGTTTCATGTTCTTATCGGCGATATGTTTACCTTCGGTGCTGGGAGGTCGTTCGTTCCTTCAATCGCTGCCGCCTCTGCCATCTCTTCCATCGCTGCCTCCTCTCCCAACTCTTTCCATTCATCTTCCTTCGTTGCCTCCTCTTCCAACTCATCTCCCGACGCTGCCGCCTCTGCCCACTCTTCCTCCTGCTCATCTCCCGACGCTGCCGCCTCTGCCCACTCTTCCTCCTACTCATCTTCCAACGCTGCCACCTCTCCCAGCCCATCTTCCGAGCCTTCCTCCTCTTCCCACTGTTCTTTCTCATCTCCCAAAGCCTCCTCCGTTCCCCCATGTTCCTTCCCATGGCTCAGCGCCATCTCCTTCTCATTCGATATCCCCTTCTGCTCCTGACTCTAAAGCACCGTCTCCAGCTCATTCATCTTGATTTGAGTCGAGCTTCAGCCGTTCGACTCTTGGCAGGGTCAGACAATATTGAGACTCATCGCTCACCTTCCGGCAACGGTCAACCGGTGATCCTCCCTACCTTCTGATTTTACACGAACAAATTCTATTTGATAACTTCTCGCCGCGATCTTGGTCAATCTCGTCTGCCGTGGATTGCTTTCTTCGAATAGGAAGTCTCAGCCGTCTCCAACAATCGATGTTTCTCTGGAAGGACTCTGGGCATTTTATTCATGTGATGATATATTTCCGACTTCTGTACGTGTATGGGCACTGCACTGATTACTGGTCGCGTAAGGCATGCAGCATGCAGTGAATTCGAAGCTGGCTGTACATCGTGCGAACACTCGAGTCGCAGAATGTACATCCTGCGCTTTGCTTTCTCTTCTTATGGACCTGATCAGAGGCAAGCTTCACATAATCTCCAACAAACACTGCCGCATCATGTGCCTGCATAAGTCCAATAAATCTAAGGGCAAAGTGAAGCAGCAAATTATCTGCAAAAGAATACCAACTGTACGGTACCATTGTTTTTTTAATAAAAAAATAAAGACCACATTGTACTTTGCAATCTCTTTTGATTTTCTACATGGTGTATGTGGTCTCATGGTTTCATTCATTTTTCTTCGTTGAATGCTATAATAGTATTTGATATGACATCTAAAAATATTAATTTTTATAGTTTTTTATTTTGAAAAAATATATAATATGTCTATGATCATTATTTTTTTTAATGTATGTATAGATTCATTTTGAGCACGTTGACTTGAATATGATATATATGATCATATATCACTCTATATGATATCATATAGAGTGATAAGATTGTCTAGTGTAAATATTAAATTGATTTTCACGATTGTGACACACTTATCACAAATTAATGGTGTTGAAATTTTCTTTGTCTTATATTCATTTTGTGTGTGGAGAAAAATATAACAGTTTTGTGCACTTCTATCTATTCAAGCTCTTTGCTTGCGTAATTGTTCAAAGAGAGCTCAATGTGTGTGACACACTTATCACAAATTAATGTTGTTGTAATTTTTCTTTGTCTTATATTCATTTTGAATGTATACATGAGTTCAATGTGTATACATATTGTACCCATGAGATTTTTAGATTGATAAGTTTATAGATGAATAAACATGATAAATGATTGTCATGAACATAGTTCATGATTGGCTTTGTTTCAACTGAATTCTCACTCATTAAGCATCAAGTAAATCTTAACATGAACTGAGGATCAAATGTCATATTGCTATATTGGTTAGTACAACATATACTTAAAGCTACAACTTTCTCCGTTATTTCACTGTAACTTCCCTGCTTAAAAATAGCTTTAATACTGAAGGTTAAAACAATTGGAGAAATTCCGAAGAACTTATTACTCTACGTTTGTCTCTTTTGTCACAAGCTTGATGTATAAGAATCCCATATTTACCAGCGATAATCATATCATTGTATAAAAAAGTTCCATCACTCATATCTTATTTTATGCAAAATCTAAAATACTAAAAAATATTTTCTTCTTCCTTTGACATTCACATAAGATGAAGATGAGATCTTGGCTATCTTCATTAAACTCCACGATTCCCTTTCATATCAAGTTTTTCAAGAAAATAACATTGTTAGATCATGTACACAACCAGACAGGCATTCATTACAAGAACGGACAACAAGCTGACAGCCGACATGGAACAATATGTGGAACACTTCAGATTTTTTTCTCAAAAAACGTTAAATGTGTAATGTAAAGTGAGATATCTTATAAAATAACAGACTAATCAGCTTAAATATCCAAGGTTAAACCAACTTGAGTTAACAAAGACCTCAGTTAGCTTTTAAAAAAAATATCCAAATAGCATTTTGGCATGTACAATTTTTATTGAAAATTGATGTGTATCTTTTGAAAATTTCGTACGAGATACGAATTTGAAGATTCTTATTGATAGTAATTTTTTTTTTATTCATCACATGTTTAAAATATTATATTTATCTCTTATGCATTTTTTGAAGAAAGTTTTCGAATATCAATCCATGAGAATCAATTTTAATGATAGTCTTTGATTTGAATTTTAATATTAAATTTTTTTAATAATGTTAATTTTTGGAGAATTATTATTTTATTATGTTAAAAAATATTTTTCATTGTATCACTGGGTTCATTATGAGCATGTTGATTTTGAAGATGATCAAATCGAAAAAAAAATAAAAATTTCGAGGAGATTACTCATTTTTTGAGTAATTTTGAAAATCGGCTTAAATATATATTTCTATTTTTCAATAAAAAATAGATTTAATTTTTCATGAAAATCCTTCAGTAGAAGAATTTGTCGAAAAATTATTCAATTATGATTTTTTGAATCGGAGAAATGTTTAAAAAGATGCCAACATGTGAATATTATAAATCATGACAAGTATCAGGTTTCTTATGGTTTTGACATTACAGTCTTTTCAAAAAAAAATATGTTATCATGTTGAGAAAGCTTGCATACTTAGTAAAAATCCTTTGCACAACCAGTATCGATATCCTTGAACCTGGTTTTAGTTCTAATTGTGTCACATGACGTAATGGGCACTTTTCCTGTCTTGACACCCATATACGTATAAGAACTCATACGCTAGATTGTAACACAATAGCCGAATTTTACAGAATATGAAATTGAGAGTGATGTAATTTCTCCCATGAGCAAAAGACTCGATCCAACCTTCATGTATTAGGCGATCCACCGACAGTTTTGGTTTTATATATGAACAATTCTAATGCTTCATCACGCATATGACACTACTTCACTCATCCTTGGCATGATATAAATATCATGCGGACATGGATAACTTAAATAAATTCACAGTTTCATTCTACCTTCTCTCAAATCCTCGTTTGATAACCCATAAAATAATTTAGTAGAACGTGCCACTGATGAATCAACGCATTCTACTCTTTGTCTACTAAAATTTTGCATTCTTCTGTTCGAGCTATTATAAGACTTTTATTTCGTCAGATCTCGATCCTAGGTAGAGATTCTCAATTGGGCACAGAGAGTTAAAAGCTTAGGGAACTCTTTACTGTTTTTTGAGCTAATAAGATATAATTCTACTTTAAAAAGATGACCTCATTTCACCAGATATATAACAACTAATAGATTTGAAATGGTAATACTAATATCCATAACTCAATTTCCTCAAATCAAAATGTGTATCATCAACGGTTTTGTGAATCATCCTTGACACTGCAAATACCGTAAAAGTTTTAACCTTCAAAGATATTGATCAATGCTCATCACAGTGTACCAAATGAAGAACACACGAAAGTTTCGTCCTTTTTACTTCATTGATGGTGACGTATAACTTGTCGTACTAATTGAACCATCATCAGTCATCAAGATGGCCGGCTGGTCTCTGTAAATGGTCCTGCAGTTTACTGTGCATATTTTGTGTCCTGCGGTCACAAAATAATGCACAGTAAGAGTACGAGAATGTCCACGGTTGAGGCGAATTTCCGTTTGGACCTGAGAAAGACGGCATGTAAAAGATTACATGCCGTCTCCCTCTTTGTCCCAGGCCATAAAACCAACGAGCAGCGTCCTGAGATATTGGATCTTCTTGGGCCAGATGGATGAAACAGAATCGACTTCAGTCTGATAATCTGTCATAAAGCCAGCTACAACTAATACATGATCCATCACCAGCTTGACTGACCCTTCAATAACGCGCTCTTTGTCTTTCTCGGATTTCGAAATAAATTAAGCTCGTCTTCTCTAACATGCGTAGATATCGCACGTTTGTGAATTTCTGGACCATGCCCGTGCGGTTGGCCACTGAAGTCTCTATTGCCGGAATTTTGTCTTCTAGAGATGAGCTGACTATTCTTAACCATGGAACTTACGATTATATGATGAAATTAAACTCTTACGTCATTATTGACATTTGACTTCGACAAAGAGAGTTAATGGTCACACTCACCATCATACACTCACTTACTCCCGAACTGCCAACCAGCCCTGAGTCTCAGATCACGCCTGCTGTAGTACTCACATCTATCTGAATCCTAATCGGGCCCTTATAAATATCGTACTTTCACAATATGCGTCATCGGCATCCAAGAGCAAGAATCAACTTGAAGAGCTGGAAGCGGTTGCAAGCAAAGCAGAAGTTTATTAGAAAGGACGGATCCAGTTGAGCATACTGTGAAGGGAGAGACGAAACATACATCTATGATGGCGTTGCGAGCGAAGTTGCTGAGTTTCATGTTCTTATCGGCGATATGTTTACCTTCGGTGCTCGGAGGTCGTTCCTTCCTTCAATCGCTGCCGCCTCTGCCATCTCTTCCATCGCTGCCTCCTCTCCCAACTCTTTCCGTTCATCTTCCTTCGTTGCCTCCTCTTCCAACTCATCTCCCGACGCTGCCGCCTCTGCCCACTCTTCCTCCTGCTCATCTTCCAAGCCTGCCACCTCTGCCCACTCTTCCTCCTACTCATCTTCCAACGCTGCCACCTCTCCCAGCCCATCTTCCGAGCCTTCCTCCTCTCTCCACTGTTCTTTCTCATCTCCCAAAGCCTCCTCCGTTCCCCCATGTTCCTTCCCATGGCTCAGCGCCATCTCCTTCTCATTCGATTTCCCCCTCTGCTCCTGACTCTAAAGCACCGTCTCCAGCTCATTGATCTTAGTCTGAGTCGAAATTTCGAACAGATCGACTCTTGGCACGTTCAGACAACAGTGGGACACATCTGTCATCTTCGAGCAGCTGTTAATGGGTGATAATCCCTGTCTTCTAGTTTTACGGCAACAATTTCTACTTCATAGCCTTTGGAGCCATCTTTGTCCGTCTTGTTTCTCGTGGACTGCTCGCTTCGAACAAAAAAGTGCCAGCCGTCTCCAACACCTGCCGTTTCTATGGAGGGACTCTAGGACGACAATAATTTGGGGATTTGTTTCATGTGCCGATGTATCCCACTGCAATATGTGTCCTACACAATTTACTGCTCTTTCAAGGCACCCAGCATGCAATGTATTCGAAGCACGCTGTACATTGCCGACACTCGTGTAGCAGGATGTAGATCGGCGCCTACTCTACCTTTCGGGACTTGGTCAGAGGCAAACCTCAGTTCTTTTCAGACGAAGAATGCAACACCATGTGCCCGCAAATTTGTGAAATAATAAGTGAAAATGAAATAATATGTCTCCTGAAGAAAATTTTAAACTGTCCGGTACCATTTTTTCTCCAGCAATAAAGGCCACAATCTTCTTTGGAAATCCTTCTGATGTTCGTGCATGCTGTATACACTCTTGTCGATTCCATTCGAGTCTTGTGCAGTGAATGTTGAATTTCTAGACTGAAGCACTCCATAGCTGTTTTGTGGTTTAAGCGACAAGAAATCTCCTCAACTCTTTATGGAAATGTGGCCCATTTAACTGCTACGAGAAGCGCTGAAACTTGCGAATCGATACATTCCGATTCCAGTGACAAGAAAATCAAAATTTAGACGAGCAATGAACAAATCACTGTAACTTAATAGTGAAGCCACTTTTTTATTGCGTATCAGATGTCTAGTGTTGCATTATTGATGAAGAAGCAAGATGACAGTTTGAACGTCGTAAGCAAATTGCATATCATATGCATTTCAGCTTCTGTAAAGCGTTGGAGACGTATGAAATCTTTCCATCCATTTTCCTGAGGTTTGAATGCTCAAATTTTAGTTTTTGAAATGAGAGATCTGAGGACGCAGGTGCCTTGAGTGGTATGACTACCGACGATTAACGCATTAAGTATGGTCAATTATGTTGGTATCAGGGATGAAGTTCAAGCTCAAGATTCTATCATGTGGGTGTTTTCCTTGATGTTTCTGGTATTGTGTTTTGCAATGGATACGTACACTTCTAATGTAGGCTCGGATTATGACCAATTGTAGAACTGATACAAGAAGGAAACTCATAAGATTCTCTAATTCGAATCATGCAGAATCATGAGGAATGATCTTATGAGACAAGTTTCTGACTGGTGGCATTTCAGGACAAGGCTTTGCAATTGGACTTGGGATTTCAAAGATTCTTACCACCTCACTCCCCTCCTTTTCAGTTTGTCATCGACTGGCTTCAGTTTAATGTGTCAGAATATCATAGATTGTTTGATATCAATGTTGAACACCTTTCGTTTGCAACTGAACGTTCAGAGACCAGATGTTTTTATTTTAATTCATATAAAAATGTTTCACAGCTCATATCTAGAGACTACTATAGAATGATCAGAAGAGAAAAATATTAACGAAAGATCTGAGACACCCTCTCTTTGTACGCCGTGCTTGAGGAATTGCAATTCTTGGTATTTGTGCAAATTGTCCGGATTATTTTTTCGGCAATTGCGCGTTGTTTTATTTTAAGAACGAATTCAATTCTTGCCTTTGTTCATCTGAGGATTCCATGTTTGCGTCAGCAGCTCCAGATTAGACAACATATTCCACACATGTCAAACCACCTAATCAATGAGCAATCAGACTGCGTCAATTCTACAATCGCTACTAAGAATTCACCACATTAGTCCTTTGAATCTCCAATCAAATCTCCAAGAAACAAAGCCGAAGAGGACAACAATTAATTCACAGGTCTTGACTCTCAACCTCATCCCTGATGTTATAAAGAGGATACCGCACGTTATAGAGTACCCTGCTCAAATAATAATAATCAAATTTTACCAGTCAATATTCACAGACTCATGGTAACTTCATACACAGAAATCTGATTTTCAGTCTATTCTTTAAACAATCAAGCCCTATAAACATAAATCGAAAGGTTTTCAAAGTTTCTAACGGTACACAAAATCTGAATTGTAACTCAAGTGCAATCCACTCACAAGAAGGTTGAAACTCCTCAGACCTAATTCTTCATTTTAAATTATATGTGGAATGGTTGACAAAACACACCGAACAGAGAAACAATACTTAAATAAAGTTCAATCATTTCAAATAATTTCCGAACGTCAACGTGGTTATATTGCTTGATCAGAAGATGATATCTAGCTGGTTATAAAGTTCTTCTGAAACGCTTGCCTGCTTTGAATATGCATCCATGTCAAATATACAAGTAGCAAGTGGACTTGTAAACACTCAATCTACTTTATGTTTTCATGTTGGCATAGATTTTCATCTTTCTTCTACTTTCTGATCATCAGACATAATCATCTGACACGATGTTGAGATCGGGTGCATGCAACGCACTGCAACAAACCTTCGAGATTCATTCTGTCATACGGACCGGACTCTCGTTGTTTTTTCCATTTGAGAATAGCTCGAAATGAACCATTCTTCCCAGAAAAAATTATCCAAAAATATATTGCTTCTATAAATTATTCGATACCTCAGATTTAGAAGCATAGGAGCTATGTACATAAACTTTTAGGATGGAAAGAAATTTACAAGGCGATTTCGTTCTTTTAGTCCGATAAATTCAGTGATACGAAAAAGAAATTAGATGGATATCATTCACTATCGCTTATACTTGATTGAAATTTGACAAAAGTACATGAAAGTCTATTATTGATTTAAAATATTTGTGGCTAAATTTTTCTTGCTTATGTAATAAAGAAATAGATGCTCAAATAATTATAAGGTTTGTCTCCAAAATTTCACAACCGCTTTCAAATACATAAATTAAGTAATCTTGAATTAGTTCAAGTTAAAAAGAAAGGTAGATGGTAAATAGAATAACCCCCTGCAAACCAAAAGGTTAAATAACACAATACACGTCAACAATTTACTGACAAGTGGAAACATCAACCCATATAGTGTCAAAAGCACTAGAAAGATGACGAGATATTTACCTGATGTAATAACGAAAATCAAAAGGTTAAAGCAACAGTCCGGGACGACGCCTGAGAGATTCGAACTCTCGCGGGGAGACCCCATGTACTTAGCAGGCACACGCCTTAACCACTCGGCCAAAGCGTCCCAGTTGCCTCTAGCCTCCACCATTCCATATTTCTTACATAATTATCAACTTCTCACTTTATAAATTTCAAAAAAAATGAAGTGATTCTGATCAAATCAGAACTATGATTACAAAATATTTCGGTTTTGATATTTTTTAATTTTATCTTAGCCTAAATTTCAAACTAAATGACACTCATATAAAGTTGAAGATAATATCAATATAAGGCATCACAGATTTTTTCAAGATTGTTGATTCTTCAAAAATGGATGAGTTGATTTTCTTAAATTGGGTCTTGAAAAAACTAAGATAGGTATTATCTTGAACTTTCTCAAATCTTGAACATGACCAATAACAACATATAACATCGTTTGCTGATTCTAATGTTTTGTGTTAAAGAATCCATAAGAATTTTATGTCTTTAAATATTTTTTTAAAAAATAAAATATTCAAACGTTACAATTACAATAAAATTCTATAAATCACATGAAAAAAATTATAAACGTGACTCAATTTCAAGACTTACTTAATGGATTAAAGTTTTGGTATGTTATATCAGATCGTAAACAAATCATGATATCTTGACTTATTTATGAAAATTTTGTAACTTAAATATTACTAACAGTCAAATGATGATTTATGACTCAAACTGTTACTTAATTATTATTTTTTGTGCTAAAATACAATGTGATAACTTAAAAAGAATTTACATATTTAATGCTGGAGCATTCCGTAAGTCGTCATATATTGATTATTGTGAACATTATTCAATAATGTTAACACAATTTTTCGTAGAATTTGAGATGCACTCATTGTATAATTTTCGTGATACCAATTTTTATCTGCTGCCTTATCATAAAACATGTGAATGTATATAGGAGAGTAAAATGTGAGAGGATATCATGTGATAAAACTATCACAAAGAAAAACTGGCTTCATATACTAAAAGAACATGTATTAATTTGTTTAAGGACTGAGAAAATGAGTACAACCAACACGCTTCGAATTTAAGTAAAAAGCGAATAGAGTAGCATGTTCTCTATAATAGATGAAGATATCACTTTGATCTGTCGACAGATAATTGATTCACATGTTTTTTCCAAATAACATGTTGTTGCAAAAGATATGCAAAAACTCTGGAACATATGCTCATTTCTTACCCTAGCTTTAATTAAAAAATTTCAAATGCACCTTGATGTGTTTGCAATTTCACACATCACCATCTAATATCACCTTCTTCTTTTAATTTGAAAACATTTTAAGCTGAACATCTGTGCTTTATCCAAATTAGCAATAAATTTATTTGATAATTGCACGAACTTCTTTTTTTAAAGAAGTTTTAAATGGAAGTTTGCATTTGCAGACTAATACTCCAGTTCAATTGACCTCTCAAAAGTTCGCTCACAAAGCTTCCATAACTCAACAGATTTCAGCCTCTATACAGTGCAGAGACATGGCAGATATATGAAAATCTGGATCATCCTCGGATTACCCGGTGGGATTGGTCATACGAAGGCTATAGAAGCAGGATATTGTCTTTAGTAGATGTTCTGATTGTTATACGACAACATATGATGGTATAATCATTGTCTCTAACGCGATCATTGTCATTAGACTTGGACAGGGAGAGTTAGTGATTGACTGCATGAATCTTGAGCAATATACGATTGACAACCCAGCACAACTTGTAAAGAACATTCCTTTGGTCCACACAGGCACTACGGATCCTCCAGGACCGAGTGTCATCATGAAGCGTAACTGGTCTAGTGTGGTGAAGAAAATGGCATAACTACCGAATTGTCAACCCACCCTGACTCTCAGGTCACACTCACCATGATACTCTCACTTACTCCGGGACTGCCAACCCTGACTCTCAACTGCCTTCAGTCTCAGACCACGCCTACCGTTGTACTCTCGTCCATCTGAATCCTACTCGAGCCTTTATAAGCATCGTACTTTCACCATATTCGTCATCAGCATCGAAGGGCAAGAATCAACTTGAAGAGCACGAAGCAGCTGGAAACAAAGCAGAAGTTTATAAGGAAGGACAGATCCAGTTGAGCATACTGTGAGGAGAATGACGAAGCATCGATCTGCGATGGAGGTTCTAGCGAAGTTGCTGAGTTTCATGTTCTTATCAGCGATATGTTTACCTTCGGTGCTGGGAGGTCGTTCCTTCCTTCAATCGCTGCCGCCTCTGCCATCTCTTCCATCGCTGCCTCCTCTCCCAACTCTTTCGGTTCATCTTCCTTCGTTGCCTCCTCTTTCAACTCATCTCCCGACGCTGCCACCTCTGCCCACTCTTCCTCCTACTCATCTCCCGACGCTGCCACCTCTGCCCACTCTTCCTCCTACTCATCTTCCAACGCTGCCACCTCTCCCAACCCATCTTCCAAGCCTGCCACCTCTGCCCACTCTCCCAACCCATCTTCCGAGCCTGCCACCTCTGCCCACTCTTCCTCCTACTCATCTTCCAACGCTGCCACCTCTCCCAGCCCATCTTCCGAGCCTTCCTCCTCTCTCCACTGTTCTTTCTCATATCCCAAAGCCTCCTCCGTTCCCCCATGCTCCTCCCCATGGTTCAGCGCCATCTCCTCTTCATTCTATCTCCCCTTCGCCTACTCCTGAGGCTTCTAAAACCACTCCTCCTCCTCACTTTAAAGCACCGTCTCCAGCTCATTCATCTTAGTCTGAGTCGAATTTTCGAACTGGTCGAAATTTGGCACGTTCAGGCAACACTGGGACACATCTCTCATCTTCCAGGAGCTGTCAAGGGGTGATCCTCCGTTCCTTCTGGTTTTCCGTCTCGTCTCTCGTGGGCTGCTCTATTCGAATAGCGATTGCCGGCTGTCTCCATCACCTGCCGTTTCTATGGAGGAACTCAGGGGCGAGCTTCGTATCATCTTCGGGATTCTCATTCATGTGCCGATTCAGCCCTGCTACCATATGGGTCCTGCACATTTTACTGGTCGTTCAGGGCATCCAGCATGCAATGTATTCGGAGAACACTCGTGTCGCTGGATGTAGATCCAGCGCCTATCCTTCCTATCGGGACCTATGGAGAGGCGAACTTCAGTTCTTTCGCAACTGCAACACCATAGGACTGCATATTTGTAATAAATGTCAATCAAATAATATGTCTGCTGAAGAAGAATATAAACTGTCCGGTACCATTTTTGGATCAAGCAATAAAGGCCAGAATGTTATCCAGAAGCTGACGTTTGTACATGCTGCACACTCTCTCGTGGGTTTGATTTCATTCTTGTGCGTTAAGTTTCTACTTCTCGACTGAAGCATCTATTTCTACACTGAAGCACATTCTATAGATGGTTGGGGATGAAGCAACAAGAAGATCACTTCAACTTTTGTTCATAAATTGGCCCATCTACTCGTACCAGAAGCACTGCAACTTAATTCATTTGTAAGTTGACGTGCTTCAATTTATATCACTTCATTGACAACAATGAAGTGATATAAATTGTCCCTGATATCTGTTTGATCATCGTAAGTAAACTGCATTGCAGCTCCATTTCTGATATTGTGAACTGTTGGAAACGGTAAAAACCCTTTCCATGTATGTTTGTAAGGTCGTTGGCACTTTGTTAATCACGGACCACAGTCCACCTCGGCCGACACTGAGCAAGATGGCGACAAAAATTACGAGGTAGAAGTAACTCCCGTAAGAACTTAAGACAAGGAACGGACTAACGGGACGTGACCTGCTGGAAGATGAACAATGTGCCCCAATGCATACACACGGGGTTGGCAGTCCTCGAGAGACTCTGAAATCAGACTTAGATGAAGGAGGAGAGTCTTTGGGAGGTGAGAAGGAACATTGGAGAGAGGAGGAAGTGTCAGAAGATGATCTGTAAGAGTTGGCAGAGGACTAAGCGTAGGACGATGAGTAGGAAGAGTAGAAATGCCATCAGAGATCGAAGCCTAGTCATTGCTTTGACAGGTGCTCAATTAGCTCTGTCCTCTGTAAATGAGTTAGCATATGCGTGCAGCTACTTGTTTCTGGAATTTCGAGTCTTGCTCTGCATCCTGATGACTGGTATGTTGGTAAGGGATACATATACGGGCTAGATTCAAACGCAGATCTCTCTGAGCTTACAATACTCGGCATAATGTGAGAGTCAGAACGGGCATGCACGAGTGTTATAAGCTACTCTTGTTTTTCTGCTTATTAGAGCAGTGCGTGAGCATGCATCTTGTGCAAAAGCATGATAACACCACCAACTACAAAAATAATTGGTTTGATTTCTCTCTCAACCACCAATATTGTATTGTTATTTTGACCTTCAATTATGCTCAATTGCAAGTAGATTCAATTTTTATGGTAATTTTGTAGGATGTATTAGTGGTTTTTTTGTTGGGTATTGTTTGTCCTTTGAAAGATTTTTGTCGCTGAATGTCAGGTTACGACAAATAAGGTCTTTGATTGTCAAAAGGCTCTGAAAGTTTTACCTTAAATTATATCGACTGTGTACTTGCAAATGAATTTTACATGTAGATCACGTTATTTTATTACGACATAAATGCAAGGCGTTTGCTAATCCCATCTGAAAATTCTCGTGAATTACTTATCTTCTTTGCACATTTTCTCAATAATGAAATGAGTGATATAATTTGAACGGAAAATGATAGGCATAAAATGTGAGAGCCAACTAATGTGACTGCCTTGCTCTCGATGGCTGTGTGATTTGAGGTAGTTGTGTAGGTTGTTCTAATGGACGTGATAGAAGATTAACCCTGCTTGGCCATGACTTACAAAATTTAATACAAAATATAAGAAAAGAGTTAATTTGTCAATGATCACATACTGAGATTGCTTGGCATCTGATCCAAATCGCTTTGATGCTTCTGATCTCAAGTTTATTTTTTCCCCCTTTTTTTTGTCCCCAAAAGAAAACCTCTTTCATTCTTATTATTTCATTATCATATCTCAACGTCCATAGATCAAACTCTTAATTTTCCACTCTTGTTTGCTTCTACTACCGTGTTGGCTCCACTCAAAAGTCGAACATTGACCTGGATTTAACCCTCTCACTTACTTTTCACGTTACATTATTTTCTTGTTTGCCGCTAGCGTATCACAATCAGTAAGACGGAGGCAAGCAAAATCTTTAGGCTACACAGAATCTTCACACCAAGGAGTGGTTTACGCACATAAATGGCACGACTAATTTCCTCTACAAGCATCTCATTTGAATAGAAGTGAACTACAACAGGATTCCATTGTCGTCCAAGTCTGAACTGTCGGTAATGGGTCAAATTGCAAGTCATGACGGACGAGCCCCAAGATTATGCAACATCATATTGATTCCACTTTAACCACTATTATGCCAAAGTAAACTAGACTGAAAATTCTAATGAAACAATCTGAATTCAACAAAATAGACTTCTCACATGTCAAACAAAACAAATTTGGAGACAAAAACACTCGTTCATTCTGAAATTAATTATGATGAAAGTAGAATGCAAACTCACTATCAACGTAAAGAATAAATGAACTACTTTAGTGAAGCTACGTGAATGGAATCATAAGTGCTTTAATAAGAAAAAAAACTCAAAGTGCGCTAATAAGCGTGACTAACTTGGCCTCAAATAACACAAGCCTATCTGAGCTTGCACAAATTTCAATTGAACATATTAAAGAATGTGAAAATTATTGGCCTTATCAATGTTAGGACATATTTTTCTTTTATATGTGTTTTTGGTATTTTTTATTTTAAATTTTTTCATGTCAATGGGGAGCAACTATGCTTAACTATTTCCTTAATGCTTCGATATATTTTTGTTATTAGTTTCCACTGCTAACCGTGTCAAGACTTTATATAAATTGATTTGTCTTTGTAGAGATTAATATAACATTATTTATTTAATGAAGCTATACACAGATTTTAAAAGTATTTTACTCGTAATCACAAATAACTTAGTGCTTTGACATCTTTTTGTTATTATCTTCCAGGATTGATCGTGCTCAAGGATGGATGTTCAGACCTTTTATACATTAACTTCTTGTTGTTTAGAGTCTGAACAAGAACAAGTTAAACAACAACAAAATAATATAAAGCTACATTAGTCTAAAATTTAGACTAATATAGCTTTATATAGAGTCTACATGTATACATATGTATATGGAGTCTACATACACATAACCTTTATTAGTACCCTTTCCGGAATCATAAGTGCTTAACTCACAAAAAATCTTAAACATGTATCATTGAAATTTTCAGTTAACTTTCTTATGTAAATATAGACAAATTAACTTAATCAACCAAGTTTAAATTAGTTATAGTTGATTGAAGATATAAATTAACTCGTAATCTATTTAAAGTTTGTGCGAATAGAAAACTAAATACTTCATCTTTTGGTAAAAACTAAAGACAAAGATATAAAACTTGATATTCTTACAACACCGCGCAATACAATTTTATAAAACTTGAATTGTATTGTCACAAGAGAAAATAGTTTGCCATTTCACTGCAACAAAGCCAAATAACAGTAATTGAATTTCATAATAACAAGGTAAAAAAATTTGCCACTTTGCTGCAATATTTACTCCACAACCAAAAGTTGTTACTGACAGATTCAAATGAAAACTATTGCACGGACAAGAGTGTGTTGACACAATCAAATTTAAACTCTGAGTTTTGAGTATGACACAGCTGTATACACGTAAAATTTTTTTCCCATGACGTCCTTTAAAATGAGATGTGAAATGCCCATACGTTACAATCTATTAATACTGTATTTGGATGTAATGGACCTCTTCTCATACTCAAGGAAAATGTCTAATTTGGAACTTACTTCCAAAAATGTATTTTTCTTCTACACCAATATGGTGTGAAGATCATAGTTTCTTTGCAGAAAGGCATGTCATTAACCTCACATTACTAATTATCATGTGAATATTATACTATGGATTGGAACAAACGAGACCTTCGACTTGACACATCCTAATCCAAAGTCCAAGTCAACTGACCCAACCTTTGCTTCCATCAAGTTTCTCTTGATAAGTTTCTCTCCATTTGTATGGCAGGAGAGTGGAAGAGAGAGGGTTCGACTTTTGAAGTTAACCAAAAATTTGACTTACGTAATTACTTAGAACAAACGCTACCATGGAGCACCCGCATCACCTTCGATGTGAGAATGTTCACAGCCACAGCTTACACAAATGTTAATACTGTCTGGCATTGTTTAAGAGTTTCGCAATCAGAGCCAGCTGTAAATTGTAATTTTGCTTTGAAACTTGACAAACGCAGACAATGACAATGAATTCTCTGGACAATATATGCCGTATTACAAGAAGACAGTAAACGTCAAACACAGTACAGGACGTTTCTAATGCGCAATTCATGACCGTCGCAGTCAGACTGTCAGCACAAGATAATCCAGCTGGCCTTACTCAGCTAAGAGGCCTTGAGCGTGGATTAACAAAGAATGTTGGTAGCACCTAACGGAAAATGCGGGTACCTTCAGGGTGTAAGTCTAGTGGCTACCATATCGTGAGCATACAAACCTATTTCGACCATATGCCACAATAACCAGACCCGCTACACGACCTTCGCCGACAAGAACTGGCATCCAGTCCACAGTCCGTGTCTTGTGTACATCGATGGTCTAACTGCTTGTCTAGGACATGGCAAGCACTCTCTACTCTAAGCGAACAAGTTTTACAGTCAATTCTAAGCGAACAATTTTTACAGTCATTCATCTTCAAATTAGGGCATATTCGAAAATCAAGGGCGCTGTCTTTGTTACCTCTCTTCCTTTCCTGTGTGCAGGGACAAACATTATGTAGAAAGATAGTGAGTTTGAGGGTTCTGATGCACAGGTTTTCACCAAGTGTATCAAATGAACGAATTTACGCCAAATAAGCACGCCTAACCAAAATCGAAAACCAAGACACCAAATAAAATTCTCCGTGAAATTTCAGATGACCGACACGCTAGACATAATTCACTGACAGCCTTCTTACCGTGTTTAAGGATGATTCAACGGACGGTTGCCATTGCTGCCAAGCCCTCAATACTGGCAAAGGATGACCTTCTGTGGTAAAGACATAGTTCTGTCCCTTTAAGAAGCTATCATCGAACAGAAGATACAAGTATTTGCACCTGCGGATAAACACATCAACTTTCAGTAGACATGACGTACAACATCTGGACACAATTTCTGAAGTGAGAAGGCCAACAGGACCAGGTAAGATACAATTTCAACAGAGAATAGCTGACATAATAGCAGAGGACTCGAAAGCATTTTCCGAGTCGGTCCTGCATGGATCGATGGAAATTCCCTGATCCAGCAGTCAACTCAAGCAGTAGTATGCAGAAAGATGCACACGAAGCTTTATCACTGCCTGACATTGCAAGTTATCCAGCAAGCAGAACATGAGTTTGAAAAAATACGTTTCTGAGAGGAAGAAACTGTGTTGATGATCTTCCAGCTCCATGGTCAACACGTCCCTGACGCTAGCAAAGCCACCATTCACACGCGTGTAGACGTTCAGCGAGTTAACAAGTAGTTCTCCAACTCTTAAATACCACGGATCTGCACGTTGAATCAGCAGAACTGTTCAGATAATAACAAAGAGATGCTCAAAGATCCATCTTAAGGTCATGTTGTGTAGGTGACAATTGACTACTAAGCACAACCATGACAAACATACGATATAATGTTCTGACTACAGATTATAACTAAAGGTAGGGATGGTGAGGGTTTTGGGATTATGTATAGTAGGACACAGTGTGCGCTTCATCATAAACAAAGGATTGCATGTCATCAAAAACTGAAACAAGAAATAAAAGGAAAATATTTTCACCACTTCTGCATTACCTTTTGTGGCTTGGTAGAGGAAAAAAGTGGACTCCGCTAACTCCGGTCGCAGTGGATAGTATCTTTCCGTTGGGTGTATAATCTCTCTGTCAAATAAATACCTGAAAGAGATGAAGAGATTAAGCTACCTGGTCATATACATAGTTAATTGCTCATCTATATTACATGGAACATGAAGAAGAAAAAATCTTGATACAGAATGCAAACAAAAAATAAATATCAGACCGTCGTTTTTATTCCCCACCTTTCAGGAATGACTCCATATTTCTCCCAGACATGGACAAACTCACGGTGAGTGCCATTTGCAGCTCCAACATCACCAACCAGTACCTGTCATAAGTTCTTCAAATAAGAAAAAAGAGGGAGCTCTAAGAACTGAACAGAACTGCCGATATTCCATCTTAGGAAGAATCCTTCTAACAAGAGCACTAAAAAATGGAATGTAGTTATAATCTTTAAAAGAGTTGAGAGATATCGTTATAAAACTAGACATACTTGCAAACCTGGCCAAAATGCCTGCAAGCTAGTCAGCTGTCTGTGAGTAGGACCGCCTGTTCTGATGTCGGCATCATGATACCTGTTAATGACCATTTCTTTCTCTTAGACGTAAGTACAATTGATTGTAAAGGATGCACAAGAAGACAGGAGTTTCTTGACATTCATGGAGTTAAAACGAAAAGTATAACTTGCCCGGTTGATTAAAGTACATATTTAGGCAATAGGTAGTACGTCGTTTTATATGCAAGTAAGAAATAACGTCGCCAGAGTAGTATTCCAATATTGAAATTCTTCTCCATTCTGAATCCAAGTGCCACATTTTGGTCGTGGAGCAGCAAATTATCATCTGCTGACTCTCATGTTCACTATTTCTCTACAGGAGTGCATGTGGCCCTTCCTTGCCAGGGCCACATGCACTCATTGTGCATTGCGCATCCCTGCGAATTCCAAGGGTACTCAGCTATATTTCCAAATTGGAATGTTGAGTTTTCTGATATTCCTTTTGTCCTGACTTCAAAGGTTACAAGAAGTTTGAGTTATACCAAGGACCGTGTCGGTAGTATTGTTGTACAGCCATGTAAGCATCGTGAAACATGTCCCAGTACTCGTCGTCTCCAAACAGTATGTATGCTTTCATCAGATACTCGTAGAATGAATCAACGCCTGTACGCAAACAAGTGTGGTCAGTTCAACTGAACTTCTCAAAGGGGATGGAACCCTTGCTTGCTCACAACACGTTAAAGCTTATTGGAAACCCATGTGATTGGTTGAATCTATCAACGTGCATCTTTTATGCAAAAGTACTTTCAATGGCATAGACGTCGCTAGAATTTGAACAGCGTGCTTGATAGTCACAAAGAGGCGAAAGCTCAAGCTGATACGCCGCCTAATACGATGTTTATACCGAATATATGAACGTACTTTTTAAGATTTTTTTACTCATGCTCATAACACACAGGACATAAAGGGGAGTGACGCATTACCAGCACCAATTCCAGAAGAGTGTTCGATCCATTGTCCCGTGATCACATTAAGAGTCGTCCCCACGAGATTGAGAGGGCTACGCATGCTCCACAGCTTACGAAGAGCAAGTAGAGCTGCATCCTCGAACTCCGGGTTACCAGTCAGTCGGGAAAGGGCACCCATTTCCAAAATAAGCGAGCCTGCGTTTTCAAGATAAAAATATTTGGAGATTTCAAGTCCGAGAAAAATACAAATACTATCGAGGGAATCAACATCGACTAGTGCAAAATAAGTCATCAACAAGATGAAGTTGTAAAGCAGGAGGGAAATGTACCACAACCGGATGTACTGGTTTCGGGTGTTTCGTCTTCTCTTAATCCATACTGTATAAAAACGGTCCAATGAAAGAATTACATACATGATCTCTAAATCTCATCATGGAATATGATATATGAGCAAGAAAGAATCCTCACAACGCACAGGCTTTCAAGCTTTATAGAACACCGCACCAATAAGGATCTGCAACATCTGCATAGTTACAGAAACTTTAGGCACCGCACCAGTAAGAATCTGCAACATCTGCATTGTTCAATAAACCGAAGGCTGAGGTCTGGAGTAGGGAACTCTCACCTAGAGTACATGTTCAACCTAAGACCCTTAGCTAATCTAGAGTTTCTTTCTTTTACACACAATCTCAACATTTCCAAGACCTATGCCAGACATAACACAGAGTTATACTGACATTAAAAAGAGAAGAACTGGTAGTATTGATAGAAACGCTTCATAGAAAAGAGCAGTCTAGTGAGAAATCACACAAACCTTTAGATTGATCCATGCGTATGGTATCCCGGTGGGAGTTTTAAATGCTGGCAATAGACGCCGACCCAAATCCTCTGAAAGACGAAGTAAATGGCCATTGTATCCGCTGGGCATCAGACTCTTTAAGTCAAGAGCTAGCATATGAGCTGATATCAGACCACCCAGCAATCTGATGTTGCACTGCGTTAATTTATGTCAAAAGTGTAAGAATTAGCTCCACAGCTTTATCCTTTCAGTAACTTATGATCTTATTCAGAGAAAAATTGGTTGACATCTTAAAAATTTCTGTAAGATCTTTCTTTCTACAAAAAACCTTCATGCTATATAAAAATATTTAAACAAGCTGCACATGTTGTACAATAGATTCTAATGATAGGCTGGCTTACTTCAAAAACATTAACTCGGACATCCAAGTCAAATGAAAGATTCTCCCCCAACCAATTGACGGATTTCTCGAACTCAGAGCTGTTACCAAGAATAGCCAAACTGCACAGAATAATATACCATTCGAAATGAGCCTACTTCTCGCCAAATGACTAAGTAGCAATCAACGATACCTAAAGTTGAGGATCGGCTAACTTTAGAAACAATTTTCACAGTAGCAGTTGTCACAAAGGATTTTTTGAAAACCTAAGAAAATTTCTGTGTGTCATCATCATCATAATCAGGTAAAGAACATACAAATGTTGTAACACGCTTCACCAGTAAGCTTCCAGTAAAATAACTTACCTTGTTAAAGAATCAATTAGTGTTAACGCCGTACCATTGTAGGTACTTGAGAGATGCTCCAGCTGCGGCAAGAGCAGTTCAGTTGTAAGAATATAGTGTTGGTGGGGTGCTATTGTCAGCACTACAATTGAAAAGCTGGCTGCCAACTGACGATAATAGAATTTGTCGAGTTCAATAGATGTGGTAACATAAATACCTTGAGATTGCCTAGCTCGCCAAGGGAGTCTGTGTAGCCTCGGGACAATGGCTTCAACTCATCATGCTATTGTATCACACCCAAGAGACAAAAACTTTGTGAAAAAGTCTTTCAATTGGCCATATTCCTTGAAACATGTGCACTCGATCCACTGATTACATCGACAGCTATTCTGAATTTGTTTTGATTCTTCTCTAAAGAATCAGGATGAAGGCAATATGCAAAGAGAGTGAACTTATAAATAGGCCCACTGTTAATGACAAGCTGAATATTCAATATCATATATTCCTAGTACTAGCGTAAAATATCGTTCGAATTGTACAGACGGAACACTAACCGGGAATGCATATTTCATGTAATTGTCGTAGGCGTGGTGAAACCTGAGTCAATCCGGCTAACAATCAGCGTCTCAAATTGCACATCTTCAACATACTGACATGATGAAGTTGGTCCACGAGTTTGCAGCCAATTTCAAGATGATCAAAAGTCGATATAGAGCACAAAATTTCGCGGGAAAGTTATTTCGACCGAACGTCCATAAATTCCAATTATTCAGTTAGGGCCCTATGAAAATCATGACAATGGCTTAGAATACTGATAAGCACGAGACGAAAACAAGGGATAACAGGGGTGAGTCAGATCATCCAACAAATTCGGTTTAAACATCAAGTTAACAACTGCGAAATTCTACTTCGTTTCCGCTTTAAGCTCCTGATGACAAACGTTGTCAGAAACCTGTTTCTTGCAAGACCGACAATGGTACAATCCCGAGCCAGAGCGCTCGTTCTTTTTCATGATAATTCAGTACATAGAGCGGACTGGTCACAGCAGAATTTACAGAAGAGGAGAAAGGGAGATGTCTCGTCTTCTAAAGGCGTACATTTGGCGCACATCCTCACGGAGTTCAGCTCTGTGCTGGAGCGACATCGCTTCAACCATGGCGGAATTTTCAAGCTGCAACAGTTGCAGCAAGGTCGAGAAACCCAAGAGCGCCATCCCCGCGAATTTCCATTTCCTCCAAATTCGCCCGCAGACTCCGACAAACGGCCTCGCCTCCGCGTGATCCATACCTCCCGCCATCCAAATTCTACTCACGTCATCGGCCTCGTCGGCTCTCCACAGATCCTCCGCTCGCTGCCACAAATTCTCTAGACCTCGATTCTAGTGCAGGTCCAGCGTCCATCTCCGCAAGCAAAATCTGCTTGCCGTCCCAGATCGTCCCATTCTCCGAATCTTGTTCTCAGTCGCCTGGACAGATGAGAACACCGACTCGACACTTGCAACAAGGACGGCAGCGCTACGTCTGATCTCAATGTTCATTCACAAATCGCAGATCGAGCACTTCGGGCGGAAATTGTGGGTTTCCAAGTGTTGAGCCACGACAACAATTATTGTTGTCAACGAAGATTGTCAGAGACAGAGGCAGAGACGTCACCGCACTAGATCCATCCATCCATCCATCCATCAGTTACATCGATCGTGTCCCAGCTACTGTACAGTACAGTACTCGGCTGGGGGCTGACTGACTCACTGACTACGCAGTCCACAAGGTCCCAGGTTCGACGACGAGGCCGGACCGCAAAGGATCGCACTCTCGCTACAACGAGATTCGCCTCTCCACGCCGTCGAACCTGTCATCTCATCTCCTCCCCTAAGAAACCTTGTAACTAAAAACTCTTTGTATACTCTGTTCAATAACTTTGGATATTTAAACCCACGCAAATACACTAACAATCCAGGTCATATTGACTAAAAGTACGAGTCAAGGTAGCATGCTTTACTCTTTTCTCAAATGTCACTTCGACCGGTCACTTGAAACGAGCCTAAGGAAATCTACAGATATTGTAAAACTGAATGTGATTTTGAACCTTTTTATGCACACTAGGTTATGTATACATAATTCAATTTGTCGAATTGAACTTAACATTTCATTAGTACTTGAAATTACTTCATCAGTTGTATTCTCCTTTGTCTATGACTCAAAATAATGTAAAGATTTTACTTGAGTTATAAGTATGTTGGCATTAGAACTTTCAACTGAATTTTCTAAATTTTAAGACTGTAACTTTTATCTCAAAAGTTTTATAGAAATAATTCCTCATCTGGCATCTGTTTTCTAGTCTAAATTTTCATGTGTTAGATTTCAAAACCGAAAATTAATAACTTATGAAAGGATAAGTTTTGAAAATTAACTTATGTAATTTTCCTTAATATCAATCATGCAAATCACATGATTTTATACTTTATAATACACAAGGCAATACTTGTGAAAATATTGGTTATAATAAGTAATTTATTATTTTTTTAAAATATATTAAACTATGTTGTGACACAACAAATAGGATTGAACTATGGCACAAATCTTGTTTGAAGAGCTTGATATAGCAATTTCATTGTTCATACAATATATATAACTGTATAAATGTTGAAGCTTTTATATACTCATGTAAACTTTTGAAATAAAGTTATGAACCTCAACATATATAAAGAGTGATCTAGATAAACAATTTCAAAATCAAAAAATTTCTCTTGCTGAACTTAAAATTTATCTAATCAATGTGGAGATAATGTAAGAAATTATCGAAGTACAACATAAAACTTTAGAGGATTTATTAAATGATTTATTGAATAACCTATAAACTCGGTACAATCATTGAGTGATAAATTATTCTGAAAATCAGTTTTATCGAAACTTTATCATATTTCAAATACATCATCTTTTCAAAATTTTAAATATGAAATGTAATACCTAATAATATGTATGAATTGTTTATTTTAGTCAATATGGATTGAAAATATCAAATGTGATGTATTCAAATACCTAAGTTTAAAATCATTATTTTGTAGTTTTTATAGCAAACTATCTGGATTATTGTATCGCAAACTTTGATAAAAATAAATTATCTTTAAATTTAAGTTACTATTTATTTAAAACTTAAATTATCCAAATTTGTATTGAATTCAATCTTTTGAATGTATATCAAAGATAAATAATAAATTGATTTCAATCAAATATATATATATATATATACTTAATTATTTACTAAACATCAAACATGCAATTCTTTATTTTTGTAACATTCAAGATTTGAAACAGTTAAAAATTCAAGAAAAAATTAAAGTTTTTTGTAGCGTTGATCAATTATTCAAGATAAAAAATCAGATAAAAATCAAAAAGTTAATTTAAAATTATGTATAACTGAGTGAATGATTTTTTTGTTTTGAAAATAAAGTTAAAGTCATAAATTCATCTCATAATTAAAATTTTTAGATGAAATGATTTTGTTGTAACGTTTAAATTGATAAAAATATACAAATCAAAGCATTTTTTAGTTAGTTTAAAAAAATATTAAGATATACAATAATTGCTCAAACTTATTTGATAACTTATTTTGTTCATATCATAGCAAGGTAAGAAAAAATTTATAGGTAAATTTTTACTATCTTAAGTTTTAAAAATTATAACATTTATAAATCAAAATTCATTAATTTTATATAATTAAATAAAATTAATAAAAAATCAAACAGACAAGACGAATGTAGAAGAAACTAAAAATTATTTATAAATATAAATTCACAAGCATTTTAGTATCAAAATACAGAACAACCATTAGATTAGACATTTTAAAAATAGATGTCTAATAGGTTTAATCTCATATTTCAAAAATGTCTAATCTCAAAAGTGCATGGCGAAGTATTTTACAGTGCTCAATTTGCAAATAGCTGAAATCAGCATAAAAATCAAATGAGGCTGTATCGTGAGTTACGTTGTTCAATATGTCACATCAACAAAAGTACGATCTTTAAATTTCATAAAGAATTGCCAACATGAGTTGTGTCATTGCTGTTGCATACAAATTTTGTATTGCATTTGATCACGACTGCAAATTCGATGCAAAATGTTCAAAAATGATCACTAAGAATACTTTTGATCCAATATTTTGCCCCAAGAATTATCGCATTCTGGTAAAGATAAAACATTCACTCCATTGAAAAGAATATCATGTACTCAAAGTAAGTTGATTTATTTTGATAGAGTTATTTGAGACCCCAAAATTATTAGGCAATTTACTTTGTGAACTCAATTTTGTCACATCTCGACGGAGACACAGATTATGTAACATACATAATTATCATTGAGTTCATAATCAGAAAAATGTTATGGGATTACAAATATGTTGAAGGCCAAACTTTCGATAACGTCATGCGTCTATTCACGCTTAATCTTGGCACGGTGAACTATTTTGTGGCAATTTAGATCTCAATGGCATATTATCTTGCAATCAAATACGGTGGTATTGGTATCAGTCTTTGGCAAACTATGTTGACGGTTCAAGAGACAAATTTTTCCAAGCTTCGTGGAATGAATGATTTGAAGATCGCTACATTTGAAGACGAACAATGCAATGTCAACTTCTAGATGATTGCTAACATCTTCTGCATGGTGTGGACAATCTCGAAAGCCCACAATCCTGCAATTTTGATTGCGCAAGATGTCTTCATTTGCATGAATAGCTGATACATTGATGGTTGTGTTCATTTTATTTGTCGCCGTGAGCTCTACAATTTGTATTTCTTTTTAATCTTGTTTTAAGGGTATCGTATTGGTTTTTCAAAATTTAAAATCCTTTGCAAATTATTTGACGTAATCTTTCTCAACTATAGAAACCAATTGATCAATGCATGGTTTCTATAGTTGAAACATAACTCAAAAGATGACTAGTCATGTTGCTAGTGTTATCACGCGATTGCAATAGTGTTCACTAGGAGAATAAATTCATATGTGATGTCTTCTCCATCAATTGAAATGCTACATGAATCATACCTGAAGCTCAATGGTGATGCATAATATGTAACACTCGTATCCATAAACTGACACCTGAGCCGACATCATACACTTATTTGCAAATGAAATCGACTTGTTCCAAGATATCTACAACTTGATAGCACGCTATGTTCAATGTCACAAGATGATTCGAGGTTCATCGTCACAAGATCAATGCTCACTATTTCAAAATTCCAGTAGGTACTTTTTGAGATCAATGCTCACTATTTCAAAATTCTAGTAGACTCTTCTTGGATTGCATCTCAACTTGAAAGTGACATGTGGTGAATTTTTAATGCGTTCACAAAAAAAATCACAAGTGTCATACACACGACAATGATGCGACTTAAGATTATTGTCTTAAGATCATTGTCTGACGCTCAGTCAACAACAAATTTATGTTTCAAATTTGATCGTTAAGTTAATGTTCACTATTGATGCATTTTCAGAGCTTTGCACCATGTACAAGAATGTCTTATCATTTTAGGAAGCCATTGATTCATGCGGCCACCAATGTTTGTTTGACGATGTGTGAGCACTGCCCTTTTTGTCGGGTCTGAGTTCACCTTTACCCAACACAGCACCAATCAAGAGAAACTTTTTTATGTTGAAATTCCAAAAGTTGAAATTGCAGAATGTAATATTCAACATATCATTGACTAATTTTTTTTTCATGGAAGTTCTCAATGCAAACAATATGATTTTTTGTGCTCGATGAAGCAATAAAACATTTCTATATAACTAAACCCAAAATAATGTCAGTGCTGATGCCTAATCTGATTAGAAAATTGCACCTAATTTATTTCAGATTAGACATTTTAGGCATGTGACTAATCTAGATAGTCTTGGCAGTGAAACTTCTATGTCTATGTTGTGTTGAAACTCTCGTACAATATGATGACATATTTGATTTTTTTACAAATTTAATATAAAAATTTTATTTTTAATTGAAATCAACATGGTATGTGTAACAAAAAGATCATGTAATTGAATCAATTTTGAAATTCATGAAGATGATAAAAATCTTTTTTAAAATTTTTGATTTTGAATACACCTAGAAGTTATTATTAAGTAAGAAACTAATATAACAATAAACATATCTATGTTCGTGTTGATATAACAATAAGACATCTATAAAGATAATTAGTGCGTAATGTGTAACAATAAATTTGTAATAGATATGACATCTTGAATCTTATTGTTGTTGGTGTTTCATTGTTAGTTGTTAATTATTCTTTGATTGAATTTAGCAAGTGTAAATATAGTTTCAATAACCAAAACTAGTTAGAATATTTAATCTATGCTATGCTTAAAAGCTTGAAGTTTTTTTTAACACAAAGTTTACCATTCTAGTAAAGTAGCGTTGTGATACGGTAAACATATGTTCTAAATTTTATGTGTCAACTTTATTCCATACCTTTAACTGAATCATCTTTAATCATATGTCAAACATTAATTCAAGTCATGATTAATTTCAATTAGTAATCTATTATTAAATATATCAGTTGTATATTGCTATATTTAAAAACTATTATAGGCTTTAAGTGACACATATTAAATATTTGAAACAGAATCTATGTGTTGCTTAAATGTATAGATAGTGGAGATATCATTGAATAGATTTTGATGTTTAAATGTGTTGATAATGAAGCTCTCATTGGTATATAGAAGACTAGATTTTGATGCATATTGAGGCTGTTTCTTTTCTTTTTTTTTCTTGTTCAATAATGCTATTGGAGTTAAAAAAAGTCATTAATTAGAGTAATTAATTTCTACTCTTGGGAGATAAGTCATAGAGATAAGAGTTCAATCGTACGTACCAAGATATGTCTCCCCTATTCCTGAGTGCCACGGGTTCCGGACTCAAACCAGGGTTAGATTCACGGGCTGTAAGATTGCTCGCGCTGAATGAGCTCAAGACCTGCTGCTTCAATGCTGCAATGCAAAGGGCTGACTGGCATGTGCGACCCAGCAAAGTCCAGGAAAGCTATGACAGAAACTTACGAAGAGAGGATTGAAGGAAAGGATGGTAGAATCAGTTGCGTTCATGGGCTTTGAACTTTGGAGCGGGCTCTGTCAAGTCCAAGCTCTCGTGTCTTCAGATCCGATCATCTGTTCATCTTGTGAATCTGGATTTGCTGTGATTGACGAGTGCTAGCGGAACTTGAAACTGACCTGAATCTGTGATCACAGTTGGTCGTAAGCTGCTCGTTGATACTGGCAGGATCTTCAAGATAGTGTGCACATATGGTTCGATGCACAACTGTAGTGGAAGGGAAAGGGAGACTTGCGCTGGCAGAAGTCCTGGCGGTACTGGCCTGGCGTGAACCCGGTGAACGAGACCTTATGCACCAATCTGAGTTTTGATAGAGTCGCACATCGCTCGTGGCAGTTGATGGAAAACAGTGCGTCTCTGATTGAAAACAAAGACTGTAGCAGTGATCGAAGCATATGGATCCGCACAAGATGAATTTCATCTCGAGATAGGCCGTCAGGAAATAGTGCACGCAGATATCGAACTGTGCCCATAAATATAAGCAGGAAATTTTGTTAATCGAGAAACGATTAAGTTGAAGCAGGTTACATATAACAAGTCCACAGCTTTTTGATGTCGATGCTTCTTGGTTAGGAACGATTATTGTCTTCAATGACTCCTGGACTATTGCCCCTGCTGAAGATTGCACCGAGATGGGCAGGTAGATGACTAGAACCTCGGCACAGAGAATTAGAATCAAGGCGTTGAGTGAATGTGGACCGCCACGTTCCGCCAAAGAAATGGATCAGCTAACAGCACTCTCTGCTTCCAGTGATGGGATCTTTTCAGAAACTCATTCTTAGGTGCAACAGAGGTTACAGTCTGTGGAGGAATTGAGAACTTCAGGCTTGCGAGAGTACTTTCGAAATCTCCATTACCTGATGACATGCTGTATCAGCAGCCTTCAAACGATAAATTTTCAAGGAGCAACATCAGAGAGAAAATAAATGTATCTTACTTTAAAACCCTGTTCAAGCTCAGAAGTTCCAAACCTTGCTCGCAGATAGACTTCGTCGGCAGGCGAATATTTGCTTATACTCGACAGACGCCGATGCGAGTGCATGGTCTTCAGGCTCTCGTTCTTCGGTAACATTACCGTGGGTATTGAACAGGAAGAGCCACATGCATCTGCTAACATGGCTTTGACAAGCAGTGAAGCTCCTTCTTAGCAACGATTGTTGGAATATAAGAGAAGTGCTAGGCTTTGAAATTAGGTGATCGACGAATGCGAAAGTGTAAAGTCGGCATGCAATGCATGATTATTACGGTAGCCAACACTGGCTAAGCATTTCTTCTCCACACGACGATCTTTGCCTTACTAGCTTTTCTTACAATTCTAAACCCTATCCCCTAAAGTGCCTCTCGAGGCTTTGTCCACATTCTTGCCATAATATGACAAGAGTTGTTTCATGGCAAGTACCGTACTCCACGTATAAATGCTTTGTATCAATGATACATCGAGTTTTCATCGATTTGACCGATGACTTTAGGCATTCATCGCGGAAGAGTAGTTGATAAAAAAAAGGTCAAGGTGTCGTTCAAAGTGTGTCACTCTGGCAACAAGAGCACTCGGCAGCTGGTATAAAATACTGGAAATTTTAGAAGAGAGATTCAGATTGACCCCATCGAATCGAGCGGATGAACATGATCTGAACTGGAAAAGTCCTACCGAAGTTAGGACTTCGGTACCTCAGGGAGACTTTAGGGAGAGCCAAGGACAGGCTTTCTTCGACCCCAAGTCATTAGTGCAACCCGATGTCGCGTGGGGGATGAAGCCAGCACTTTTCCTTTCCATTGTTTTCATTAGCCTTCGTAATAAGTCCTCGGCCTGGTCCAAACCATGACGGTAGTACCTGCCATAAAGCAGCAGATTCTGCGTGCATGATTGATTAGGTGTGAGGTACGAGGAAATCTTTGCATCTTGCCCCGCTGCCCATCAAGCACGGTCGATATCCGTCGACTTTAGCTGCACCTGCGCATGAACCACCTCTCCAAACCAAACCACGCCCCGCCACCTCACATACGGCAGCCAGCAGGCCTGTCCCCCGCGCCGAGATACATGGTATTCGGACTGAACCGCCAGAGAGTCTGCCGATCCATTGGGGAACTCACACCTCCAAGTTAAGGTCCACGAATGGTGATGTCAAAGACAAGTAATGTTCATGTCGGGCATTTGTCCGTAGGTGAAGCCTGATGAGTCATCGCTCTCGTGATGCGCCACATGGCGCTCGTCGAGCAAAAGCTTGAGGCGAATGTCAATCGGTGACAGTCGCAGTGGCTTGGACACGAAGCTCGAGAATCCCTTCCCTTGAGAACGTGGAGACGTGCCTCCGAGGTCATTCAGCTCCAAGACAATTCGTGACTCGGATGATAAAGCAGTTCGAGTTCGTGGTCTCTAGACGATTGTTGCCTGCCGGCGAGCGCAGAGAGAGAACGAGTTACAGCCGAAGCAACAGCAGAAGCAGAAGCAGCAGCAATTAGTAGCAGACAACAGTGTGTACAGAGACAGAGAGAAGAGAGAGAGAGATCGATCGAAGGTTGCCGATCCATGTGTTTGGAGTGTTTCGGGATGGGAGGTCGACCTGATCCGCGCTTCAATCCGCACTACGTTCCACCGCCACCACCACATCACATGCCACAACCATTCCATCCCCCTCCGCCGATGCACTTCCCTCACCAAACTCCACCGCCGCCTCCTCACTTCCCGCACCAGCCTGCTCCCCACTTTGCACACGGTCCTCCTCCGCCACCTCACATGTCGCACATGCCCCACGCTCCTCCTCCCCCGCCTCACCATGCCCCTCGAGGTCCTCCTCCTCCACCTCACCACCAGCCTGCCCACCCTCCCCCTCATCGCGGCTACTGAGATTGTGCCACGGCTCTCGTCTTCCAGGTGAATAAGAAAACTCCGTCGAGACATTTCCGGAGTTCCGTTCTTAAACGCAACGACATGTGCTCTGATCATGCGTTGTGAAGATCTGACATGACGAATTTCTCCCGCTCGTCTCGCACCCGGGATTGACTGACGTCTTCGAGATGTTCACTGCATGACCGACCCGTCGAGAGGAGGCTGTCACGTTGGTTAATTCGCACGGGACGGATCTGGATCGCAGCTGGAGACGGCCCGAGCCTCAGCTGGAGTATATCTGTATTCGGAATGGAAGCATGCAGCAGTCAGCCTCGAAGCCTCGGGACAGAGACGGAGGTGTTCTACGAGCCAGATGACTTCTGAGATTGTTCATATAGTTGTATAGTTTTACTTCGAAGTTTGGCGATGTAATGGACGAGGATTGGCTCAATTTGCAGTTGCTGCTCCAGTAGTATACTGTCCTGTTTTATACTCTACGTGCAGAAAGACATATTTAGCTGTAATCGACTGAATATGTCACGCCCTTACGGATGAGGCTCGTACTTTCTCATCAATAGTGGGCATAGTGCTATTTTTCTCACGAAGAATGATGTATTAAAGACACAGTTCTGAAACTTATGACTGATGTATTCAGTCTTCTGGACATTCTTTCGATTTGATGATGGTCTCGTTATGAATTTTCTTTGATAGGTTTGATGCAGTCGAAGTGTGCTGAGGTCAGAGTGCGAAAGATAAGACTGGATCGATGGTCGTAGTGATGTTAAAATTCTTCTTTTATGTATTACATTCTTGTACTTGATGTCCTTACAATTGAGTTTGCTTGGTTCTCTCTACCCTCCTATCCTGAATGTGTTCTCCTGGTTCAGTAACTCAGTGTCCAGTATTTCGTCTTTCGGGTATGATGGAGCCAACCGATGTAATATTGGATATGGTTGTTTACTGCACTCTTCTTTTGATCGCCTTCTCTGCACTCTCCTGTTCTACGACTGACTCTGCGGTATGTTTTCCTTCGGGTATGAGGGGCAAACTGATGTAAGATTGGGCCTGGTTCCATTTTTGCACTTTTTCATGAACCCTTACTATTGCCCTGTTCTGAGAAGTGCAGTGAACCGTGAGAGCTCGAGTGTAAAATTTGGGTATGAGAGAACTATGATTTTTACTCTCGTCGCGAGACGAAACTGTTGGAAGATTGTGTATGCTTCTTTACGTACTCTTCTCCTGGTTCTGTCTGTCCTGGTTTGAGGGAGCAGACCTAGAGGACGATTGGGTACGGGTCTCACAAAGTCCATAACATATCAGAGCATCATAACATTGCAAACATATCTTTCTTGTCATACAGTACTTACTGCATATCCTGAAATTTCTAAACAACGTTTTAGAAGTTCACGAAAGTTGGTCGTGGCAAAAAGCGGACCTTGCTTCGTCAAGAACCAAGCACGGAAAAAGGGGATTACATAGATATCCAAACGATTGGAAGACCCCATCAATCCGTACAAGGAAGAACACCACAGAAAACAGGGGCTAGGCCCGAATCAAGCATCCATGTTCATGGAGAAGACGAGAAGTGTACGCTGTCCGGTTGACACATGTCGTCTCACTCATCTGATGTCTTAATCTTATCTAGTATCAGGTTTTAATTTATGAAGTATCCTAATATTGTATAGTGTTCTCTGTCGTGCAAATATCAATTTAGAGACAGATAATACGGCTGGTACTTAACTCTAGAACAGCCCAAAGCACGAGAGGTATTAATATTTAGCCTAGCTTGGGGTGATCCAAAATATGGGTAACAAAATGAAACATTACGTTTGTACATCAATGTTCAGGAGTTTTCGTCTTCTTTTTTTATGAGGACTACTTTCTTTCTTTCTTGTTCTTTTAAAGGACTATGTGTGATGAACATGCAGGGGCGGAGCCAGGATTTTTCTGGTGGAGGGGCGGGGGGGCTCCGCCAGGAATTTCTGTAGCGCCGCAGGCGAAAAAATTTCTCGACTCCGTTTTCACGATCTGTAGCTCAGAATCTGAAGACCCTTCCTGGGCTTAGGGGGGGGCACGCCCACCCTGCCCCGCCCTGTAGCTCCGCCACTGTGAACATGTATGTATCATGAGAGACTAAAGAGTTCCTTTCCTTCATTTGTTGTCATTTATAATCGTTTTTGCACTGCCATGAAGAAACATCAGTCCATTATTGTATCTGAATTGTTACCATATTATCTGTACCATTGGCATGCCGTAGCACCGTCAATTTTCCAGAGACATGGTTTATCACATACCTCCAGCAGAGAAACTACGAGTTGCTTTACATAGATATCATGCAGAAACCATTCACTGTAGTTTCAAAGCTTGTAGTTTGCCTTGGGGTTTTGGTTCGAGAACAGCTATACAGGATACTCATATGACTAGTTCTTGTTCGTTTGTTGTTTGGTTCTAAGCCTGTTCTTCTGGTTCTGTAGTTCTCCGAGCTACGTACTCATGGCCATTTGCCACAAGTCTCACAGTAATCCTTTGGACTCTATCGGAAATCGTTATGATCTACAGCATGTGCAGATGGAAGTAAAAGACCCAATAACTTGAGAGTCTCAGAACGTATCCAGATTAAAAAATCTCAACAATCATTGTCTTCCAATAATACCCTCTTCAAAATGACTGCAGGTTTAATCTGCGAATTTGCTCGACGATCTTCTATTGAAAGCCCTTTTTCTCATCACATTGAGCACCGCCATTAGATGAGGACTGATGAGTTGCCGAGCTCAAGTATATATAAGGAGAGGAAAGTTCCGAAATAGTTTCTGGGGACACGTCGAAGGGCTTGGTCACAACTATGCGGTCGATGCCGAGTCTGAAGAGAATTAACGGAAGCGATCTAAGATCTGGTCTGTTTGTGGTGAAAAAAGCATAAGTTTAGATTGGTCGCGAGCTCTTTTTCTATTCTGGAAGTTAATGAGACCTCGAGGAAATACGAAGACGTCATTTCTCCTCTAGAGTTTGAGCAAAGAGAGTGGGTACAGGAGACTTCGAGTCGATGGAACTCACCGCCAACCGGACTTCCATCATCTTGACGACAGCGTTTCAATGTTCACGGGTCGAAGGTGAGGACCAAACATCACAATGCCCGTGGAGACTTCAACAGGTACCAGAGATGACGAAAGAAGGTTTCGGAAACCTTTGCCGACGAACTCGATCGCAAGAAATTGGAAACTAAGTCCACGCGAAGTCAAGTGGAGAATGATGAAGACCGCGAGACTTTCTGTCTACTGCTGATGGAGACTTCTTCTCAGTCAGTCTTCTAATGCGATATGGATGTGCAGTGAGCCTGTATTTGCTGCCTCCGGATGACTGTTTATTATACACCTTGCGATCTACTCATGACATTGAAATGTAGCGCTGTAGTGCTAACACGCCTGAGATGCAGCTTGATTATTTACAACAACCAAGCACACATAGCGTTGACAATTCAGAAACGAATAAATTCAAAGCTACAAGTATTTTCAATTTGGTTCAGATTTAGAATGAGTATTGGCTTCGTCAAGTGTGAGAGGTTCTTAGGATTCATTTCCGACCTTGGATATTGTTCTTCATTCAAATTTGAATATGTAATATAATACGCGCATTGAGTGACGATGGGTTTGAGATCTCCCTAAGATGGAAATATTCGTAAGATAATGAACATCAATTGTACTAAAGAATGAACTGTTGAACGCAGCACAAACACGACGTGTAGAGAAAACATGGAACGATGGTAACGTTGGAAGAAGCCACCGAAAAGAGTACAAATCCCATGCCACAGACGCAGTTAAACCCCACAGGCTAAAAGGTAAAAGAAAAAGGGAGAGCTTATATTATAACTCCACATCGGTCTTGAAGTAAATTGAGGATTTTCAAATCCTTATCTTCTTCTTCAATATCCAAGGTCTTGATGCACTTAAAGAAATATATGTACTTACTCCAACTGTTGAGATCTTCTTATTCATATAAGGGCACACGCAAAACATACCGATGAAAATATATGTCCCCATTAACTCTAGTTCGATCTTCATGTCACGTGAGCTTCTAGTATTACAATATTCAACATATTTTGTCACCAGACGTCGCTTTACTTGCTTCAAGGAATCAGGTTGGATATGACAAGGAGGAGCTTCAGATAAGCTCCTCATTGTCATATTCATCCTGATTCCTTGTCCCAGAGCTGAAATGGGATCTTGTTCAAAATCTGTCGGCAGTGCACGGTATTCGTTACTCTGAACCATGTAAGATTGAGCAAGTTTAACGATATGTAAAGTTCGAATGGATAGTAACCGTGAATGTAGTGGATTGTGTGCGCGTGTTGTGCCACACCAATCATCCGTCACCAAGACAATTCTAAAGACACAGAGTGCTGTTCAAAATCTGTACGTGAGCTCAACATCAATATCTGTTTATTCGAGTAATAATGCTACTGAACACGGTAGTGTTGATTTGTACCACTCGGAGGAGAGATTTCATAACGCAGGATCTTCGATAGTCATTCCAGCGCAAATAACCAAAGGATCAGCAATTCATACTACACATTGATTTGCTGCTTTCCAACTAAAGCTCACGTTCCTAGTCCAAAACCTGTGGTTCTTGTCGCAGTGCTGAGACAAAAATGAGAGGCTGAAGTCGCGATATGTATCAAAACCCTCTCATCTGAGGAAGCTAACTCAAGGGCAGCGCATCTGCAACTTGAGCAGTCTCTTTAAACGAGTCTGTCCCTCCTTCACGACTCCGAAACACTAGATAGACATACAACCGATTTCAAGGTGTTTTAGACTTCTTCTGAGCTCATCGGCAATATGTCTCCAAAATCATCTCTTGTCAGCTCTGCCTAGATTCTACAGCATTCCTTTCGCTTGAATTGGGGGCAGCATGTCCAGAGGAAATACGAGGTTTTGCAATGCCCCATCTGTAGTCCGCTCGATGCCTACTACTTCACATTGCCCAAATGCGCATCGCTTCGATCCACGCCGTTCGGGCGCTGCAGATTATACTTTCACCTTCCTCCTGCCACTGTGAAGGTCCCGAGAGGCTCGAGAGGCACAGAGACGCTGTTCGGAGGTTGGTTCATCTAACCTGGAGTCGCCGTAGCCTCTCTCCTCACTCAGACTCCGGAGCAACAAGATATTGTCTTCTTTCCTCGAGGACTCGTGCACTTCCAGATCTACAAAAGCTTACACGACTCGGAGCTGCACGCAACCAGGTCTTGCTCTTCGGACTCAGCATCGACCTCAAGTCCAGACTAAATCCTTCGAGGTATTTCCGGAAAACCGCTCCCGTGCTTGATTGAGCTTCCGAATCCGCATCGGATGTGATGCGCAAAATCGCAATCTAAAATCGCCTCCAACTAATCGAGTACATGCAATCTGAGCTCATTGATGTGAACCTTCTAGTTCTGGTGAGAACACGACGATAGCTCAAATTATGTGAGAAGATTAGTTCCGTAGCCGTTGTGCCTTCAGTTTCCGTTTCCCTTAGCGAAATATTAACGGAACCAACTTTTGCAATGAATAACTTTCATGAAAGTCATTTACCATGCCATGGGCCGTGGTTCAATGGGAAAAATAATCTATATAATAGCATATAGTTTAATATGTCATCCAATATAACGATAATAGTTATCTTCTGGATGTTTTCGTTCATTTTTGTATT